TTCCTCCATTCAGATTCAGACATCAAGTGGGTTTTAGGAACCAGCTTGGCAATATCCTTGGGCAACATGACATGCCTGTATTCAAACTCTTCGTCGTCGTATTTGTCCGAGTAATAAATTTGTTTATGCGACATGTTCGCTCGGCCTGCGGGCCTTTAGCCCCACAACGCCAGCCTCCAAACAACTCCCAGCAACCGAAATTATCTTTTAATAAATAGAAGAGCAAGTAAATTTAATCTTCATTAATTATACAATAGTTAGCACCCATAGTTCTCTAATTAAAAGCACAAATTGTTTCCACTTTCTTTCTTTATTTATATTAGGTACAGGGTCTCACTATGCAGCTCAGACTTATAGTGATCCTCCTGTTTTCTCCTGTTTTCAGACACCCCAGGGCTGGAATTACAGGCATTCACCACCATACAGGTCTCAGTGAACAGCTCAGGGTGCCCACAGCCAGGGCACACATCGAATGTGGTACTGGGGATTGAACCCCAGTTCCTGTGCTTGCCTAAGCAGGCCCTTAGTCTGCTGAGCTATCTCACTGGCCTTTGTTTTCACTTTAAATTGGTGCTGATTACTAATGTGATCTTGGATGAGCATTTGACCTTCTTGACTGTTTCAAACATTCATTCACTTTGCAAATGCTTAATGAGTTTATGAAATGAATACAGTGTTCTCTGTGTTGTGGATATCTCTCCTGTCAGGGAGCTGGCATTTGTTCCTTCATCTATTCAATTAATCAACAAATGTATGTTAGTACTGATCAAATGAGAGATGAGCACAGAGCCCTATAGGAACAAAGTACAGAAGGACGTTGGAATAGGTCCACAGCAGTGGAGGTGCTAAGGGGAGGTGTTTGCAAGAGGGGATGTGTAGTTGAAGGAACAGATGGAAAAAGAACGAAACCTTGACCATCTGGGGGTATGATGGTCACATGAACTCAAACAAGGGAAACCATGAGAACAAAGGGTCTTGAACAGTAGGAGCTATCAGGCACTCTGGCTCGCGGCTGTGTATAGCAGTATCACTTCACCCCTGGAGTAAGTTGAAGTCCCAAAATGCATCACTAGTCCTTTGTGTTCACTCCTGGGACATTTTAACTTTGGTGCCTTTCTCCATGTAGGATTAATTTCCTCCAGTCTGTGGTTGCTGAGCACCAGCAATTTGATGAGCTGCTGCTGTCCTTCTCCACGTGGATTAAGCAGTTTCTCAGCGTGTTACAAACTACATCCGAGATCAGCGTGATGGACCATCAAGTGGCTCTTTCCCAGCACAAGGTGAAGTACATTCTTTAAGATGGAAGAAACACTGATTTGCAGGAGAGGGCTCCTGAATTACAAAGGGACGAAACTTCTTTTTTAATGTGTGTAACCGGGGATTGAACTCAGGCCCTTGCACTTGCCAGGCAAGCATGTATTCTACTGAGCCATCTCCCCGGCCCTGAGATGAAACATTTTTAAATCACTTAGCCATGACTGAACTTTTTATTCCTATGAGAATATTTTAGTAATTGAGCATGTGGATCTTGACAGTGTGTTCTACCGATAAATTAAGCAGATAAAATCACTTTAGATAAAGTAGGTTAATTGCACTTCAAAATTGTTTTTTAATAGTAAAGCAAACAATTTCTAGCAGAAAGTGAAAAGAATGTCCATGTTTAAGCTCTCTAATTGCTTTTGTTATGATACTGCACATGAATACACAGTTGCATTGTTTTAATGATATGGTTTATCTGAAGTGTTATTTAGCTTGAAAGTGATGTAAAACTTATGACTTACTTCCCTCATTTCTAAATTAGTTACTAAATTATGCAGAGTAACAATCTTGACCTCAAAAACATTTAAAAATCAGATCATGATCATCAAGCTTTGAGAGCGAGGTTTACAATAGTATTTAATAATAAAACATTTAGAATTTATTCAGTATCTAGTCTGTGCTTGGTTCACTAATTGACCTTATGAAGCAAAAAGCAAACTCTCATCTATCTTCAGGAAGCAAAAGCTTCATGGTTTGGGGGAAGGCAATCAACTGTCCCAATAAAGTGAGGTGCTGTCTTCCTAGACAGTGACATTTCAAAGGGAGGGTGACCAGGCGCTTGAATAAGGTGATCCCAGGCTGTGAAATTGGCCAGAAGCTTTAAGAAGATGCACTTCTCTTTCTTTCTTTTTTTTTTTTTGGCAGAACCAGGGATTGAACTCTGGTCCCTGCTCTTGTCGGGCAAGCACTTATTCCACTGAGCTATCTCCCCAGCCCCAAGATGCACTTCTCAAAAGGGCAGGGAATGAGCTTATGTTAAGTTTTCTACAGTAAAAACACAAAGCCGGAGGTAGTACAGGATCTAAAGGGTCTAACTAAAGCTTAGTGACCAAACTGAGGTCCTCTGTGGCCATTGTGATTAAAATTAAGAGAGGTGATAATGTTTCTTTACTGGGAGGAGCCAGGTTGTGATTCAGAGCAGGTTTCAGCTAGATTTTTTTTTTAATTTTTATTTATTTATGTGTGTGTGTGTGTGTGACCAGCTCAGCCCACCAGGGAGTGGGGCTGGCTGGCATGTGGTGCTGGGGGATTGAACCGCAGTCCCTTGTGCTTTGCTAAGCTTGTTCTAAGTAGGTGCTTTAGACCACTGAGCCATCTCACCAGCCCCTCAGCTAGATTTAAGAAGGGATTTTTTTTTATGGGCCAGTCACACTTTTTGTTGTTATTTTTAAGTAATTAATCAATTTTTTTTTGGAGGCAGTGTGTAGTTATGGACTCTGCCAGTCTCAGATTCATTACGCAGCCCAAGTAAGCCTCAAATTTGATCCTCCTGCCTCAGCCGCGCCAGCGTCCCAAGCTGTACTACCACATTAGGCATAATCATATTTCTCACAGAGCTGTCCCATCTAAAGCACAGTTCTGACATGAAACTAACCATTTCAGGATTCTTCTTTAAATGGAGCATAAAGACCAGGAACGTGGGAAAATGTTATGAGTATCTCTAAAAGGTTCACTGGGAGTGACTTTTGATACTAGATGAACTGAAAGGCACTGAAAATATGCCTGGAAACCACACAGCCTGCAGCTCCCAGTGTCACCAGTCGCAGTGCACCTGGGAATCAATAACTCCATCTTTGGAGATGGCTCAGTAGAATAAGCGCTTCCCTGGCAAGTGCAAGGGTCTGAGTTCAATCCCCAGTTCCGCCAAAATAAATAAATAAATAAATAAATAAATAAATAAATAAATAACTCCCTCTTTCCTTTCAGGACCACGTGGCAGAAATAGAGAACAAAAGGAGAGATTTGCAGGGTCTGCAGGGTCTCTTGGCAAAGCTGGGCTCTCTGGGCCAAGCGGAAGACCTCCACCTCCTCCAGAGCAAAGCAGAGGACTGCTTCCAGCTCTTTGAGGAGGCCACCCAGGTGGTGGAAAGGCGGCAGCTCGCCTTGTCCCAGCTGACAGAATTCTTACAGCGCCAGACCTCTCTGTCTGCAGTGCTCCGCCGGCTGAGGCAAGCCGTGGAGGGGACAGGCAGTATGAATAAGAAGCAGTCAGACTTGCTAGAGCAGGACCTGAATGACGCCATCCAAGATGTGAAGACGCTGGAATCCACTGCCATAGGTCTCGACAGCCTCCTCGCCAAAGCCCAGTACCATCTGAGAAGCGGGCAGGCCGAGCACAGGACGTCGTGCAGAGCTGCGGCCGATCAGCTCTGCTCAGAACTAGAGAGCATCCAGAACCTGCTGGGGACCAAGCAGAGTGAGGCGGATGCGCTGGCCCTGCTCAAGAAAGCATTCCGCGAGCAGAGAGAGGAGCTGCTGCGCAGCATCGAGGACATCGAGGAGCGGACCGACAGAGAGCGCTTGAAGGAGCCCACCCGCCAGGCGCTTCAGCAAAGGTACGGAGACTCTAGGAAGCCATTTTCTTTCTATTTGTTCTCCAGTTAGCTTCTCTGCAAAGTATTTTTTTTTTCTCCATTTAAGTATTTTGGACAGGGTCTCATTATGCAGCTAGGACTCTAGTGATCCTCCCATTTTCAGCCTCCCCAGCGCAGGGATTATAGGCATGAGCCACCATGGGGGGGCACTCAGTGGCTGGCTCAGTGCACCCCGTTGGCAAGGCTGGCACAACACACAGAATTGGGAACTGAATCCTGATCCGTGCACTTGCCAAAGTAGGCACTGAGTCCACTGAGCTATCTCACCTGCCCGCAAAGTTTCAAGAGTACAATAGCAACTTCTTTTCTTCTTAAATATTTCAAAGATAAAGTTAATGATCAACTTGATACCCAAGAAGTATTATGCATTCTTTGGCTTCCTTGGAGGACTTTCTGAGATCATATTCACAAAAGGGTACGCAGGTCACATCGTCTGTTTGTGAATGGTTATTTTCTGATAGTGAAAGATACTCGTCTTCTATAGTAAGAACAAAAGCAGAGATTCCAGTGAGACCTGTAGTTCTGGTGGTAAAGATATCAAGGGATTCCTCCCTGGCTCATCTCATAAAGACTGGCTATACTCACTGGCTGAGAGCCGGTGGTGGATGTCAGAGGGAGAAAATGGGTGAGTGGCTCTTGGAATGGAGCTCTGAAAGGTGAAAAATGGCCACTTGAAATCCATATTCATTCACTTAAAGTGAAGCCAGTGGACTTGGAGGAGGGGTTCTCCACACCTTTCTGGTTTGCAAAGAGACACAGAGAAGGCTGGAAATCTACAAAAGCAGAGCTAAAGTTTTGTCAGCTGTGTTCAGTAGAATGGAAAAGGGGTCAATAGTTAGCTCCTTTACCGATTCTTTTCCTCCAGCACTAAGGATTGAATCTAGGATCTTGTCATTGAGTTCCATCCTCAGCACCCTTTTATTTTTGTATTTTGAAACAAGGTCTCACAAAGTCGCTAAGTTGCCCTAAGTGGGCTTGAATTGGCCATCATCCTATTTATCCCAGCCCCCACCCCAGTACTGTGATTATAGGTGTAGGTGGGTACCACCATGCTTGACTTCCTTTATTAAATTTGCCAAGTAATTTTTCTCCTAATGTGACAGGCTTCCTTGTAGTCTGCTTTCTCCCTGTTAGCAGAACCTTGTCCCCAGCGTGTGGTGTGGAAGTATAGTTTAGTGCATTCATATCAATGTGTTTCTGCTTGATACAGTTATTCTTGGCCCTCTCAACACCATTGCCACTTGTCCCCTTTTAGCCAGATTCAAATTCAAAACCAAGCATTAGGAAGGCGGCAATGGCGTTAATATCAGACCAGAGACTTAGTTCCTGAGGTTGCACTTCTGAGGAGCAGGAAACTGTCTGGCCAGCTTAACAACAGACTTCCAAAACAAAGCCTGTGGAGGAAGGAGATAGCATGGTACCCAGTGTCACCCATTCAGAAGTCTAGCAACTTTGGTGCTTTGGCATGGTGTGCCCTTCTCTGGCCAGCTCAGCACAAGCAAACAGGACACTCTAGAAATTCCAAAGAAGAGACCTAGACTTTTCCAAGGTACACACTGGCCGGCCCAGAAAGTGTTTCAGTGAATTGAGTTTCTTTTATTTTTTTTTATTATTATTATCTTTTTAAATCGTATTTGGTACAGGGTCTCACTACACAGTTCAGACTCATAGTGAGCCTCCTCTTTTCAGCCTGTTCAGAGCTGGGGTTAGGCAGTCTGGGTGGCTTAGCCCATCCAGAGGTGGGGCTGGCATAACTTGTGGTGCCAGAGATAGAACTGTGGTCACTGTGCATGCCCAAGCAGGCACTTAGTCCATAAATATGATCATTCCATGGACTGTACCTCATGAACAGAAGATTTTCATACAAATGGTCGTGCATAAGAATTCACCCCCTTGGTTAGTCTTAGTCTTAAAAGTCTTAGACCATCAAAACAAACAAGAAAGAGAACATAAACGTAAGACAAGATTCAGCATGAACAGTAAGGATGACTGTCAGTGTTTTCCGGGGTATAGCCTGACTCACACTGCAAAATTAAAGACAAATTCATCAATTGCTGTTTTAAAAGTGTTTTGAGCCACTGAATTTTGTATTTTTTACATTAATCTTATTATTGTGGAGGAAGGAAATATCATCCTTCACCACCTTTAGTACATTAACAATAAGA